GGGTCATAAATATATTGGCAAGAATGGGTGAAACAGGATTGCCCATACTTAAACCATCTATTTGAAGGAAATGTTCGTTGTTGATAATGAAGTTGGTTTTAGTTGTTGTAACTTCTAAGAGAGAGAAGCAAAAAGTGTGCTGGGGATGTGAATTAACTTGTTGGGGTCATTAATGTAGAGGTTGAGTGCAATATTGCAAGCTTCATTGGTAGGGACTTCGATGAAGAGTGACACAACATCAATATGTTCTCAACTTATTGTCATAGTTTAATTAGTAGAAATGTTTGGGTGGTTTCATTTCTACTTCAAGAAATTTAAGGATAAGTGACTTTCCACAACTGGCTATAGACAGTGAAAGGCAGTAGAAGCTGAGACATTGTGGGTGTAAGCAATCAGCTTCATACCCTTATTTGATTTTTGTACATTTATTTGATTTTCCATGACGACTGACTAGATTAACATCAGCGTTTGGATTTTGTCCGATAGATGCGATATCCCCAACACATTTGGGTACTATTGCGACAAACATTATCTGCTAACTATAAATTGACAACCTGGAATGATGACTGTAATGCGATATTTAACTCTCTCAACATGGGCTTGGTCAATTTGACCAACCATGTGACCTCTTTGTACTCGTTTAACTCTTTCAACACAGGGTCAGTCAATTTGACTGAGTGAGATGATCTTTTGTACTCATTTAAAGTTTTTATAAATTTAATACTTATAACTCTCAATATATTGGGTATATCTTCGTGAATTTTGGCAGTCTTTCAGTTAATACTACAAGTCTTTCACATACAAAAAATCATATTTTTAGTGAAGTATTTTTAATAAAATATTTGTCTATAAATATACTGAGTATGTATTTTGAAGAGTCCATGTGCAAAAATAATTTTCATGTTGAAATTAAAAATACTTTTCCACATCTCAAAAATCTCAAATTTCTTTTGTGTAATCCCTAAAACCTCCTAAATGCATTTCAAACGTCTTTTTTTTCAGTAGAACTTTACAGTTTATCATTTATTTTTTCTACCCACTCTCAAAACAGGATCGGTCAATTCAACCGAACTCATAACCACCAAAAAAAAACAAAAACGAAATAAACCTAAATTACCCTTTTTTCTTTCTAGAATGACTTCTAATTGTAACATGAAACTACATTCGTTTATCCTAAATAGTTC